TAATTACAATTTATTGGTAAAGATCTAATCTCTATTCGACAGCTCCAGAGGTAATGAATATGTTTGTTTGAAATCATGGCAGAGAACCTTTTTTTATCCACCAACCTCCATAACTCAATTTCTGTAATAATCCAATCCTTTTATCTTAAACCTTTTTAAAGTGACGTCTTATCTTAAACTATTATTAATTTGCTCCCCGTTGATTGGTCTTTCAAAATATATAAGAATACATTGAATGAACTCAGAAGTTACAGGAAATATTATTTTATTTTGAAATTTTCGATTCAAACAATTATGACTATAGAATGATTTGTGTCAAACAATAAAACTCACTCAAATAACACAATAAAAACACTTCGACATATCATACAATTAAAATTTGAGAAAATAACTTGAGTGACCGAAAATGTCTTATAATATACGATTTTAACCAATTTTTTTTTGGATTTGCAAAAATAACCAACGAATTCGCAACACGAAAGCCAATTTTGCAACACAATTTCCGAATTCGTAACTCGAATTTGGAATTCGCAACTCGAATTTGGAATTCGCAACAAAGAATTTGGAATTCGCAACACAGAAGTCAAATTTGCAACTCGAATTTTTTTTTGCAACTCGAATTTTTTTTCACAACTCGATTTTTAAATTCGCAGTAGGAGTTTCATTTTCGCAACAAGATTTTCTAATTCGTAACGCGAGTTTCATTTTCACAACACGAATTCCGTTTTCGCAACTCGATTTTTGAATTCGCAACGCGAATTTTAATTTCGCAACACAAATGTTTTTGGTATATAAACTACGCAGCAGCAGCAACTCATAACCTAAACCCCTAAATCACAACTCAGTCCATCTCCATCTCTCACTCTCTCCTACGACATCCATCCTCATATACGACGACATCCTTCCCCATCTCTAATTTTTTTTTACATAATTTTATTTCTATATAATTTTTCAATGATTTCTCTCCCAAATTATCAAGTATCAACTTAATAAAGGTATGTTTTTCTCTAAGTTAGTGATGATATATAGTTTATAGCTCGTTTGTTTAGTAAATTACTTTATTTACAATTTGTAGAATGAAATCATCTAATTTTGATCATGTTTGGATAGATTTGTGTTATGAAGGGTCATGGGAGAATGTTAATGGTGTTTTACAATATATGCCTTTACCCATGAATCTTCAACTAAAACTGTCATTAAAAAAGTTAACTTATGAAAATCTAATGTTACGTGTTTCAAAGAAATTGAGTTTAGAGCCTCTAAGTGGATTTAGGCTATCTTATCAGAGAAAGGGTAAAGTTTATTTGTTAACCGACATTGAAGATGTTGAACGATTAATTTCTTACATTAGTGTTTCGCAAGATGATGTTACATTATATATTGTTGAACCTAGAAGTAGTGAAGTTGGGTCAGTACAGGTAGTAATCAACTAAGTTCTTCAGCCCCAGTTTATGGTGTTTACAATGTACAACGTTGTTACCAACCTCAAAATTTTATGGTTCCACCATAATTTCATCACCAAGAAAATTTTGTTTCACCACATTTCCAATACCAAACACAATATCAAACACAATCTCAAAATCCACAACTTTTCCCTAATCCAAATCCCAATCAATTTACATACCCAAATTCCGGTTTTCGTATTGACCAGTTAGACGATGATGAGCCAACAAATAAAAATGTGAGTACTAGTCAGTATTCGAAATTTGATCTTGGTCAATACCCGGACTTTAATCTTAGTCAATACTCAGATTTTGATGATGTTTTAGATCAGATTTGGGGTAAAAGTAAAGAAGAAGAAACAAACCTTGCTTATTACAATAATAATTTTGATATTGGTCAATACCCGGATTTTGATGATGAAACAACCACTGCCGAGGAAGATGTTGTTGATGATATTGAGGAGGAAGTTACAGTTGTGAATGAACATGTTGAACATCCATTATGTAATTCATATAACCCTGAAGAAGAAAAAGAATAAGAAGAAGAAGAAGTCCCCGAAGAAAAGAAGAAGAAGAAGAAGAAGAAGTCCCCGAAGAAAAGAAGAAGAAGAAAGAGCCACGTGAGTATAACTGGAATATTCCAGAATTACTTCCGATACCGGAAGAAGAGTTGGTAAAGATAGTAGTTGATTGTTACACAAAAGTTATTCGTATCAAGAAATATAATTGTTTTGATACAAAGGAAGACTTGAAGATAGCTTTGTCTATGAAATGTGTGGAAGATGGCTACCAACTAAAAGTTAACAAATCAAGCAAAGATCGTTTCGAAACAAAGTGTAAGATTGACAAAAACTGTACGTGGCGTATGATTGCAAAGAGGATAAAAGATTGAGAAATGCTTCAAGTTAAGACTTTTATTGATAAACATACATGTTCAAGAACCCAAGTTTTTCCTCACCATAGACATGCAAACAAAAAGGTGTTGGGTGGTTTCCTTGCTGAGTTGATGTTTTTGAATGGCAGGGTATATCGGGGTCATGAAATTATGACTGACATGAATTCTCGGTTCAAGATTAGTATCTCATATTCTCAAGCTTGGAGAGCCAAATGTTATGCCTGGGTCAATAACTCATATAAAAAAAAGATAGAGATGGACGTTTTGAGTTACTGTTTATCACCATTGGTGTTGTGGTTAGTAAATCAATATAATTTTGTTGACTCATTTTTGTTAGTTACAAGCATTTCACATTTAAATGATTATATTTTTTGTGTATATTATTTTGTAGATTCGTTCATTTATTACATGCATGCGCCCAGTTATTATAGTTGACGGAGCACATTTGAAAGGTCGATACCTTGGAACAAACTTATTAGCAGTAGTTATGGATGCTAACAATTTGATATTGCTAATAGCTTATGGGGTAGGCAAATCTGAAACCTCTGATTCATGGAGATGGTTTATGGGGCATCTTAGGGATTGCATAGGTCCTATTACCAATATAACAATCATATCTGATAGGGCAAACTCAATTGATAACGCTATTAGAAGGTATTTCCCAGATGTTTTTCATGGACTTTGTGGTGTTCATTTATACAAAAATCTAAAATCAAGGACTGCTGGTATAAAAAATCATAAATGGACATACTGGAAGGCTGTAAAAGCTTATTGGGTAGTGGATTTTAATAAGCATATAAATTATTTAAGACGTATTTTGCCTCAATGTGCTCAAACACTAGAAGATGTCGGGTTTGAAAGATAGTCAAGAGTACATCAACTTGGAGCAAGATATGGTTTCATGATGTCTAATAGTGTAGAATCAATTAACGCTCTAAGTCGTCATTCCCGAAAATTACCCATTACTATGTTAATGGAGTTTTTTCGAGCCTCTATTAAACAGTGGTACTACAAGAAAAGAAACTATGCAGGTATTATTTCTTGAAATTCATAACTTATCATATTTTATAGATTTTACTAAGTATTATTTATTTAAATTTACAGGAACATTGGAATGTCGTGTTACACCATGGACTGAAAAAAAGATAACGAAACGTGTTGTGAAGTCAACGTCATGGAGAGTTGAACCATGTTTAAACACTTTGCTTGAATTCTTGGATAATAACTTAAATGGGCTTGTCGATCTAAATGCAAAGACGTGTTGTTATATGAAATGGCAAACATCTGGTTATCCATGTGGCCATGTTATAAAAGTTGCTCTTTATCTAAACCAAGACGATTCAAGCGCATACGCTATGAATTGATACACTACAGAAGTATATCGATAGACTTATGCCGAGATTGTCTACCCTATTCCACATCCTTCTGAGTGGGAAATACCAGATGACTTACAAATAGTTTTGCCACCAGTCATAGACAAAAGACTACATGGTCGACCAAAAAATCACGATTGTATACCGTCTAAGGGTGAAGAGAAGAAGATATCGACATGTAGTCGGTGCAAGGAAAGTGGTCATACAAGGTTGACCTATGGATCACCAATTCCATCACAATCATCTTTTCCTCCACCAAAATATGGATCTTCATCAAAATCCAAAGCTCATATGGTGCCAAGTAAAGGGAAATCAAAATTAAAATCTGAATCATAATCGCCTTCACCTTTTGGGACTATTAACTTTGGTGATTTTTTGATGCAAATGTTGTATTATGTATTCATGATTGTATAACACTTATATTATTAGTCCGGATGAATGAAGGCCATGTTTTTTGTCTGTATCGTTTCAGCTTATAGCAACTTTCTCATTCTTACAGTTTTTGCCTGTATTTTATAGCTATAATCATCTAAACATTACAGAAACAAATTTACGTGTATTTTATGTGTGGATGCATACATTTTTACAGTTAGGCATGCATTATTAAGTTGTATTCCTGACATCACTTGATTCTTTCTATATATATTACTTAACTTGAGTTTGACCATTGCTATGATCTGTTCAGTTATTGTCAATTATCAAGATTGTTGTCTGTTATCTTTCTGAAGGTGTTTGCCTTGAGACATTGTGAAACTAGAAAAAAGATGGTGTTATTGTGAACTTCTCCAGACGCTTGAACTTTAGTTTTGTAACAAAAAAAACAAGTATGATTAGTAGGAAAATTTGTCTATTCGCAGCTCAAATTCGCAACTCAAAAATTGAATTTGCAATTCGAAACATGAAAATCGCAACTCGATATTCAATTTCGCAACTCAAAAATCGAATTCGTAACTCAATTCCTAGTTACGAATTTTGTTTTCGAGTTACGAATTCAATTTTTGAGTTGCGATTTTGAATATCGAGTTGCGATTTTCGTGTTTCGAATTGCGAATTCAATTTTCAAGTTGCGAATTTGATTAAAGCTTTTTTGATAGTTTGCATTCAACATAATGCAGATTCAATCAAAAAAAAAATTCAAATTATTTACACTTTACAACACATTGGTATAAGCCTTGAATACATATACAATTGATTTAAGCTTGAACTAAAGGTTTGAAGTCCTATTGGCAGATTGAAAAGTATAAAAGAAGTTAAGCTTGAACAAGGACAATTAGATATCCTTTGTCAGTATGTTTTCATTGACCCAATAATCCACAAATGCATCCCTGCAAAGAGATTAAAGTAAAAACCCATAAAAAGGGCTACTATCTAAAATGAACTAAATTAGATCACAGCTAAAAAGAAACTAGAAGGAGAAACAATAACATATTAGGAGCCAGATTCTAAGCTAGCAATTTAAAGTTAAAACACATCGTTCTCCAACAAGGCACAACATGGTTGAACACCTCACCACAGAAAAGAAATCCAAATATAATACTCTAATTTTCTCTAAAAAAATTCCTAACAGTTTCAAAGAATATGATGGAACTAAGATACAGATATAAAAGTTCACTTTCATGAACAAGAAAGCCTACCTTGTAACCAAACCAGTGCCATTAACATCAATTTTTTTAAAAAGTGGTGTGGAGAAAAATAAAGGCAGCTTGCAAACTTCCTTGGTCACAAGTTTGAAATCTGAAAATTGTAGGAAGTAAAACATGAATATCAAATTAATACCAGAAATATCAGTCAAAGCAAAGCACACATGTTTCTTACTTGACAGCTGTAGTCCATCAATGTGGACAGCAAATAACTGACTGATTTGAGACATGTATTGTTCTCTTAGATCATTTGGAGGTGGACGACCATTTTTAAAGTAAAACTGGATGCAGTTTCAAGTACCAACATAATAAGTTATCAGAGGAAATGAATTCTGATTATATGCCAGTGGGGTTGGCTCACCAAGAAGTAGAATTTGTTGCGTGGATGCTAAGCAATATAGAAACACAGATGCAATCTATGGATCAGACACTGGATGCAGGTAGGCAACGTCTTGCATATATCTCTCTAGCCATAAAAAACCGAAACCACAACCCTACTGTACCTCTATCTCTATCTGTCGGAGGTAAAAATTGTTTGCCTCCTCTCGTCATACGTTCCAAGCACATGCATACAAACGGATCACAATCCCCTCTAGCTATTGATGTTTATTGTGGCGATGTCTCGTCTCTCATAATTGTAACTTTTAACTTATTCGGCTTCTCGTTTCCTGAATTAGTCCAATAAGAAATCGCATCCAAGTATTTAGACAAAAGATCGATCCATCCCCTACAAATAATATCTTTTAAAGAAGACAATGGTATGTAATTCAAACAGATGTCATATACTATCGTCTTCAGTGATGGGAGCTGAAGCTCGATGAGAAACCAATGACGACGTTCCATAACAGGGATAAACACCTGCAATATTAAATAAATAATACTTCAACTGCGCATATCAAATAAATTTGATGAACACCTTTAAATATGCAAAAATAAATACTAACCTTATCGACCTCCTACCACTCAGGATAAAGGATAGCTTTGTCATTACCTAACGGATATGAAGAGTCTCTCTGATCCTATAAGTGAGTTGAGAGAAAAGACGAAGGCATAATAGTACATCGCGTCTTTTTGAGTTTATTCAATTTTCTTAAAATCAGAAGTCGTGTTACCTATGCATCAATATGCTATTTTATAAAAAAAATACATATATTAGTGAATTTAATAAATTTAAAAAATTATCAAAAACAATATAAAAAGAATATAATACTTACCCCCTATTCGAAATAGCCATTATCTTCAACCTCTAATAAAACACCCCACCAAGATCGATCAAGAAACAAATATGTATGGTCAATTTTGCATATGTCGGTGAAGCACCCCTTGCTCCGCTCATGTAGATAAAAATCAACTGCGGTCTTTCTAACCCCCTAGACCCGGCCTATGCGTTTCGACTAAGTCTAGTGGATCACATTATGATTATTAAAGACATTTTTCGAAACCGTTATTCCATCAATATAAAATCACATTATAAATAACATGAAATTATAAACAAATTATACTATCAAAATCCAACTCGTAAATATAGTACCAATAAATAATAATTTAATTTTAAATCATGTCTTCAAATTCAATATCACAATAAACCGAGCAGTATTAGCAAAAGAGTTATCATTATAAAATCCGATATTTTAAAATAAGGTCCATGTCACCAAAATAAAGTCAACTTGCTAGATAAAAACATTACAATCTGATTTACTTCAAGAGATATGTTGATCCTCCAAGTGCTCGAACCAAGGTATCTAACCAACAGTATCTGAATGGGGAAAACATTTTCAAAAGGTGAGGTAGACTCAGTGTGTCCCAACATTTCCATAAAATCACAATAGGTACAAATCATAGTCCAGTAATCTCACAAATTCGTAAAAGAGTTTAACTTTTTGAAAATCATAGTTTAAACCCTTTTCCGGTACACCATCAGTAGTTTCCAAAATTATTTTCCATATAGCTTACTTTATGCACATAGCAAAAAGAAAGCCGACTTAAGGATAGGCTCTGAAGCTTGTATCCTTAAGCCCAAGTCAATAAGTCCATATAGCTTACCCTAAACACACAGCAAAGGAAAGCTGACCTAATGAAATATCTTGGGGCCCTCAAGAGTCACATTAGGCCCAGTTAGCTTGATCAGAGCTATTCCATCGTAATTCAATTCCAAAATTCAATTGCACCGTGACATAAATTCCATAAATCCAAAAACATGGTAATCACATACCATTTCAAAACAAAAATTAGATAGCAGCCATATTCCATAAATTGTCACATTAAATTGGTGCATCAATAAAACAATAACCAATGAATTCGGTGTACCACATATTAAAACCAATAAAACAGTTCAGTAATAAGTAGAGAACACACCTCGACAATAGATTCAAATAACAAATCTACTGATTGCTGGTTTCACCACGCTCTGCTACAGTTTTCGAACGGGTGAATACTGGCACACGTGGTTTAACTGATCTAGAAGAGCTGGGTCGAGCTGTCGAACGATCCGGAGAGTCTCTTGTACCTTCAAACAATAATATTTATCAGTCCCAAATCCTATTTAATTGTTCAAAGCTAAACTTCTTAAGTATATAAGCATTTTTTAGTTTTGACTATCAATTTGAGGTATTTCGAGTCTGAATTTGGCCAAACAGATTGCGGAATCGGAATCAAGGCGTCGAAAAACATAAAGTATGACTTTCCGAAAATTCAAATTCTTGGTCAAAATCAAAGTCAACCACTTTGACCGTAGATTTGGAGACCTTCGGATTCGAATTTGACAAAACGGACCACGGAAACGGATTCGGCACGTCGAAAACTATCAGGATAGGTATACTCGGAAAAGATTAACGGTCGTTTAATGCTCAGTCAAAGCCATTTTAAGTTTTGGTCAAAGAAAGTCAACGGTCAACGGTCGGGTCGGGTCAACGGTCGGGTCGGGTCGGGTCGGGTCAAACCGGTTCGAACCGGTTGAAACCGGTCAAACCGGTCAGAACCGGTTTCCAGCAGCCACTCGCCCTGCGGCGGCGCGTGTGGCGCGTGAGGCGTTCTCCGGGGCCCTAAAAATCCCGGAAAAATTTCTAAAAATTATTTTGAGCGATTTCGAGATACTTACAACGATCGGTTCAAATTTTTGAACGGCGGAGAGCTCGATTTCAAATCGGCCGAATCTTTGACTGCACCACCTCCTCACGCGCCGCCGTCTACGGCAGACAAGGTTGACACCGGTGAACTCGGAACGGCACAAGGAACACGATGGTGCGGGAGGTGTCGTAAACGGAGCAACGATCAACGGTGAATTTAAGATTTCCTCGGCGATAGAGCTAACAAAACCGTCGCTACTTTGACTGGAAATTCCCGACGTTTGGCCGCGTTTCGCTTCAATTAATTTGAAGGGTTTGTTCCTCGCTCGATGATGAACACAACGGTGGTTTCAAAACAACGATCGGAATTCGGACGGCGTTAGGATCGGACTTGAAAGTGGAGGTGTGAGAGGAAGAAAATTAAAGAAATAGCATTTGTGATTTCTGATTGTAAATCAGAAATCACGCTTAAATCATCAAGCCTACCGACAATTTTAGGGGAAATTCAGGGCTTGGTCCCTGAATTTCCTTTACTTCAAAAATGGCATACAAGTTTCCATAAATTTTAATTTAGTCACTTAATTTCACCCATTTTCACAATTTACCTCCAATTTCAATTAATATTATTTTGTAAATATTCGGGTTGTTACAGTCTTAGCCTAAATGGTATTATACTTAACTGTGTCTGGTAGTGTGCATATCTCGTGCTGAGGAATGGTACTGGCGGGTAACTGATACGAAAGTCATATCAAATCCAGCATACCGGGCACAAGAGGGGGTTTACCAATATATCTACATAGTATGAAATGTTGATCTTGAACGATGTGGGGTAGATCATGAATGATGAGAGGTGGATCCTGAATGATGGGAGGTGGATCTTGAACGATGAGAGGTGAATCCTGAACAATGGGAGTTAGACCCTGAACAATAGAAGGTGGATCAAGCTTCTTCTTACGTAGTATCGGAATTATAGTGGTCATCATGTAACATATTATCATCGGGCCTCTAAAAATAAATTAATACATAAATTAGTAAATAAATAAATAATGTCGAAAGAAAGGTTATATTTATTGCATTTTTAGTATAGTATTTCTTATAAAATTAAACAAACTTACCTCATCGCGTAGAATACACACCTCATTCTGTAACGATGAAATAATCTCACGTAGAGCACCTACCTTATCATGTAAAGAAGCTACCTCACCATGTAAAACACCTACCTCATCACGTAAAGCACCATTGCCATTACGTAAAGCACCTACCTCACCACGTAAAGCACCATTGTATTCACGTAAAGCACCGACCTCATCACGTAAAGCACCGAACTCATCACGTAAAGCACCTAACTCATCCCGTGGAGGTGGAGAACGGGGAGATAAATATCGTGACATCTTTGTCGGTCGCCTATCATGAGGTGATGGTGGAGAAGAGACTCGATGATGTGATGGAATAGGTGATAGATCTCGGTGTCGAGGTGTAGAGTCAGCTAGAGGTGTTAGATCTCGGTGTCGAAGTGGAGAATCGACTCGATGAGGTGATGGATCTCGGTGTCGAAGTAGAGAATCAACTTGATGAAAAAGTGGGGGGTGTTCATCATCCGTCCCATCAAAAATATGCCTACTAGCTTGTCACCAATCAGTGGCAATCTCAGCCTCTGTGGGTATCAATGTTTTTAATGGATAGTTTGCCTCCTAACAATATAAAAGCCCAAATAAAGTTAAACGTCTACTAGTAATAAATTGTTTATATATGGTAGTATTTGTGTTTACTTACATCATCGATCGTCATATATGGTAGTATCCCATCCCAATCCAACTATCGGATCCTCTTCCAAGTAATAACCCTAGGAATATCTTTAGAATTATTGATGGTATAAGTACGCATGCTGGGAAATGCCTTAAATATCCAAATCTACAATATAATACACAAACATTAATTTTAATAATTGTTAAATAATTAATTTTGGAAACATTATATATTTCTTACCTTAAAGGCCCAAATAAAGCCTACCAAAGTGTATTTGAAACCATGCCCATGCAAACTACGACGGTCCTCAAAGGAATACGACAATTTTTTCCAAGTAGCTTTCCATATATATGAACCCCACGGAAACCGTTCCATCCATCTAGGTCATCTACCAATAATATTAAATCCTTACAAATAGGTTGTTTGCCCTGTTTTACTAGAAAGTCAGC